ATTCTGGCCTCTTTGCCCACCTCCAACTTTTCCCCAAATTTTCGTTGGGCTGAATGCTTTCCACTACAGACAGAGGAACAAATGGTCATGTCTTTGCACTAAAATTTGTATGAGGTTGACCACCAAAATTTTGAGATACACAAACTTGAAGAAGCATACTAAAAACATGTAACTATAGTTGCCGTACATATCGCCGTAGCTAGCCTGATCACCCTCTTATCCTTCCGCCTCAAAATCATGAATATTTACCAAAACCTGGCAGAAAATGTTAATTCAAACCCTCTTCATCAATTCTAGACCAAAAAATCAACACAAATGGGCATGCAAAAGGGGAGAAAAGAGAGAGAGAGAATTGCTATAAATAGACGAACTACAATTCATGGGTACGAGATGATGAAATTTAATGGTGGTCTGCCTCCTTGTGTAATATAAGAGTTATTGCCCTTTTCACATAGATGGTTTGACTAGTATCGTAAGAGGGGGTTCTGTTCTGGATACCTAGCATATTATTTGGGAGTATATGTTGTCACTACTACCTACCCCTCTGTCAATTCTTGTAAATGCCCAATAGATCAGACAGTTTTCATATTTTTAATCTTTACACTCTGTAGATCAGAATGTTCTAGAATTCTTTATCCGAGTTTGTTCGGCCGGTTATGAGAGAGAGAGAGAGAGAGAGAAGAGAGAGAGAGAGAGAGACTAACATATGGTTCAATGTCATTTCTATGTGTGGGGGGGGGGCGGTCGGCCCGGAGAAAATCCATGAGGCTGGACAGGCAACACTACTCCTTGTCACGTACAGGCGGGGAATCGAAACCATGCCAGTTGACCCACAAAAAGAACCTGAACGAAATTTATAGACTGATTATACACTGCCCCTATACCAGTTACTAAAACCGTGGAATCACGTTTTACGTAGAAACTTAAATTTATATTTTTTTTACAATTTGTTGCCATTTCTTTGGGTAGTCATAAGGAGGATTCTCTAAAAATATGTTCGTCTTTATAACAACCAGGGTAATTCAAATTATACTCCCAGAATGTGTAATAAATCCACAATAATCACTAAACAAATTAATTACTTAATCCTTATAAAACATATAGAGGTAGATTTCACAAATTAAAAACACTTATATGGATATACTACTTCTGAATTTATTAATATGCTACGTTTCAATACACATACAGATATCGTTATCAAGCAAGTTTCGATATACATACAGATATCGTTATCAAGCAAATAAATATTTGCTTGATAACGATATCTGTATGTGTATCGAAACGTAGCATGTTAATAAATTCAGAAGTAGTATATCCATATAAGTGTTTTTAATTTGTAAAATTAATTACTATTTAAGAGCTAGCAGTTCTTGCTATGTTTCTGAAACAAACAGCTGACGAAATATTGTACCACACATGAATGCAGTAAGGCTGACATATATTAACATGATAACAAACTTACTGTCTGTTCCAGGCGACACTACGACTCGAAAATTGCTTGCTATTTCTTCAATTTTTAATTAAAATTGTTAAAACTTAACGACCTACCTGGAATTGTCATCCCTTTACTTTATACCGCACGTTAACTAATTTCAGATCAAGCTATATAACATTTCTGTCTTGAAAAATCGTTGTTTATTTACTTCGCGGTATTGAAGACAGCCATGCTTGACCTAGTTATCTGGAATAAACCAAATCGAACAGGGGTGTGGATTTGACTTTGGGTCGTTTCGTCCTACTTGCATGTTTAAATAGTTGTTTCGACCCAGTAGAATATAACTTGCTTTAATGAGCTATTTACGGGAGGTAATATATGAATTTGCTATTTGGTTTCAGACCACACTTGTTTGCTCCACTGCCTTAGATATTAAATTGGCGGCCCCAGTCTGGTGGCTTTCGGATATAAACTACATACAAAGTGTGACCTAATATTGTAGCGACACGTCATGGAAATTTAGAAGTATCTAGCTTTGGGATAATAGATATATAACTGTCGCTTTTATTTGGCTTTGTACGACTTTTAATACTATTTTCTTGTTTGTCTTTTTTAAAAGTTTTAATCCAATTGAAAAGGGGGCGCTCCTAAGATATTTTTATAGATAGCCTACTCTATTCCTTGTTTGATTTAGCTTTTTTTTATTTTGTGAAATGTCCCTAAGCAAGCGATAATATGATAGAAAACGCAACGGGGTAGTAGCCACACAAGGTCAACTCCTGATAGATCAAGGGCACGTAATTCCGTTTTTGTGTTCAGACCACGGGTGGTTTTTTTACATTTAATTTATTCATATTGATTCGTCGTCAATTAAATTAAATTTCTGCCAGTCTACCTGTTAAACAAGAAAACGGAAAATAAATTGTTTTATACAAAATCATTTATTTACACAAACTCACAGAAAATGCTCCAACTATATACAATATAAATTATAGAAGTTGTCTGACCTACATTCACGCTATCTATCATACAATTTACGCAAACAATCTACACACTTCACCACACTTGCACTTACATCAATCTCTTTCCCTGTACATTTCACATGCATCCACCTTTCACACAAATCACAGCCCACCCAATCCACAATCGCATCCGACTCACTTCTCGGTGGGTTCTCACAATCACATACACTACACACATTTTTATCATCATCACTCGAATCTTCATTCGCAACACCACCACCATCCATATTCTCAGTAACCTTTTCACTATCACTCTCTCCACTGACATTCTCGCCCAAATCTTCACTCTCACACCCAAACTCGCTGTCACTCCCGAACGAAAATACGGCTGGTGATACTTCCTCATTCAATCTTCCCGCTTCCTAAAACCGATCCTCCACCTTGTCTATGACGTGTTGACATGCCTTAGCCCAGTCTGTAGTTGTCACACTAGCCTTGGCCGAAAGGAACAGACGTTTAACGTCTTTGATTTTGAAAGTGGTATTTTTTCGGGCGACATAGGCCTTTTCTTGTGTTAAAATGAAAATATTTTTGATTTAATGTGGATAAACTTTAAAATGTTATAAGATGTAGTAAAGGCTTCCATAAATGAATGTTTTAACCCTTTTTAACATCACAGATAAGACAAGATTTATTATCTTTCAATGTCGTCAACTTGACTGCCGTCCAAATTGCAGTGTTAAGTATTAACTTGAATTATCTCTATTGGGTTTAACTCGCAGTGCCTTACTGGTAACCCCGATCAACCGAACCAGCATCTAAGATGATCAGTCTTGATCCCTTACCAGAAGGAATGAATCTATCGCATTCATTGCAGTTTGGGAGAATTATGCCCAATGACCCTATAAATATAATAACATATGATTAAAATATGTCTATCCATAGATACTACATTAAAAATATAAACTTGCATAAGTATACGTAATAAGAAAGCAATTAAAAAAGTCATTACCTTTCCTGTTTTCTGTCCATGTTCCATGGATGGCTTGGTTAGCATTTACCATGTTTCATCCAGGTATATAATTTCATAGCCTTCACTCCTAAAAATATCCAACTTTTGAATAAGTAATTGAGTTATACAATTTTGTTCGACAGACTAATCTAATATTTTCATAAAATAATTATTAAAAACGTGTGAACGTATGGAAAACTTGCCTATATTTGCATAGGTTTCTTAAATAGCTATTTCGGGCAGCAACAATATCAACAGTTTCTTTCGCGTACCTTTTACCGTGATTTCTGTAGTACTTGAATCCCATTTCATTGATTGCCCGATAAAGAGTTGTTTTTGATAGTTGTTCATCTTTCTCTCTCAAGTAGCGTTGTAAAATGTGTAATGAAACCTTCAATTATATAGACAATTATGTAGACAATTATTACATCAAGGTTATGTAATGCAGAACATGGCATATGTGTAAAAGTCGAAGAGCAATGATGAAACATATTTAAATGAACTGCACTTACATACTGGCCATTGCCGTGTAGTTTATAGATGGTCTCTCTTATTGTCATCAGGTCAAAATTATCTAATTTTGTTGAACATTTGTTGACCTTGCTCTTTTTATTTTCCTGCGTTGTAGATGATTCATTTTTCAAAAACCCGTACACGGATTTTAAGGGTATATTCAATGCGTAAGCAATCTCTTTTTTGGAACTTTTATAAAATTCATTTTAATCTGTTTCTCAAAATAAGTAAATAAACGATTGATACATTGGTTCACATCTCGCGTAATCTTCATCTTGAAATTGTAAATAACAATAATCACTTACCCAGTTTCCACCTTCTTATATACACACATCATCGTGCACTTGCAAATGCATGTGATGAAAGGATGATCCATTATTCAAGGAATTATATTTTCTGCGATTCGTTTTTTTTTATCTAATCTACGACAATATCTGAAACAAATCTTGTGTGCCTGTGGAACGCGAATATAAATAAAAAAAAAGATACCGGTAATCAAAACTATTTAAGTTCATAAAATTATAAGATATCGTACAATATTTACACTTTATCAGAAAGGTTACCATGCCATCTAATGCTGAAAATAAGTGTTCTGTGAGGAATATTTTAGGAGACATGCAGAACTATGAATATCTCTAAGGAATATTAAATACCGATAAACCTAAACACACACACATACGCACACAATCACACGCACACACACATACACTCGCACTGCCGAAAAACAAACCTGCGAATCCTCCCGCGCTAAGCATTATTAACCGAATGCACCCGATTTGTGGAATACCTTATACCCCTACATGATATACGAGTGACCCAACTTACGCAAGCGCAGTGATAATGTTTATGTTTTGAGAAATTGATTAGTGTCGAAAAATGTGAAATTTACAAGAGAATAAAGGATTTTATCGAACTTATAGGCGTTAAGGCTCGACGAAGAAAGTAACGGGGTGACAATTCCAGGTAGGTCGTTAAGTTTTAACCATTTTAATTAAAAATTGAAGAAATAGTAAGCAATTTTCGAGTCGTAGTGTCGCCTGGAACAGACAGTAGTTTAATATACACAAAATAAAATATATTAATACAAAATACTATTTTTATTGGTATTTAAATGAGACGCACCCTCGTCATTAAAAAGGTCTGTAAAAGTCATAATGTTGTCCTTTAACCATGGTAGTTGAGCCTAGTTCAATTTTTATGCCTTAATTTGATTGTCCACTTCTTTTTCCAACTGACGAATTAATCGATGATTTAGAAATAACAAATTTCCACTCGGAAGGAAAGTATTTAAAACGACCCCAACTCGCTCTGATCGCAGGCCAGTCTCCGAGGGTTGGGTCAGCACTCGAACATGTTCTTGCAGGTACCGGATCAATAATCTAAGAACAGACTCCGCAAGCAGACGATTTTCTGATATTTCACAAACAACAGAAAAAGCAGTGTAACCTGCCCCAAGCCATACCACATAACGTTCTCTATTAAAAATGTCACCCATTCCCAGTCTGAAAAACCCGACTTCAAATTCGGGTAGTGTATCATCATTACTCACTCGAAGAACATCCTCTTCAACTGAACGTCCACTAATCGCTCTGCGAAACTGGTATTCCGAATGCACACGCTCTGACACAAGCTGAATCTGGGCTTTACGAACAGATTTTAAGACATCGCCCGTAATATCATGACTCTCGTCTGCAACTCCGTCTTGTCCGTAAATATCGTAATAGATAAGTCTAGGCGTCCCTGGAACTATCGTATTTATAAGAAAAGCGTAAACCATTGCTTAATGTAAACTTTACACGCCTTCCCGATTGCAAGCAAGTCACATGATCTGGCTCGATCATCCAGACACAATTTATTGACAATCTATTTTGAGGTACATGTAGGTCAGATAATAACGATGGCGATCGGATACGTAGGATTTAATGTTTGAATTACACATTTTTATAAGATGTGGTTTAATTATGCTAAATGGTAGAATGTTTTCTTTGATAAAGCAAGTAGGTTAGTGGAGTTTAATTTGTCAGAAAGCTTAGCGGTGATTTTTCATGTTGATTATGAGTTACTCGTGTTGATAACTTCGACGCCTATTAAAAACTGGCAACATTTCTCTGTTGATCTTGTCTGCGATATCACTTCGGTGGAAGCGGACGTTAAATAAAGCTATTTCACACACACACTATGTTGATTGTCTGCGATATCACCTCTGTGGAAGCGGGCGTTAAATAAAGCTATTTCACATTCTGTTCATTGATAATTGCGACCGGGCATTTCAACACAGGAAAATCGTGTGATAAGCTTTTAAATTGTAAATTATAACCGTTACAGGGCAAATGCGGCCCATTCCAACCATTTTAGAAAAAAACAAACCCGTTACTATAGCTTGGTGCACCCAAGTCCCAAACTCCCCATTTTTACAACTCAAATATAATATCGAATTTGATAATTAAGCTTTCTTTACATATGCTTCATTTACTAGGCAACTATTGGTAATAATTAAGGCATAATACCTACAAGATTTAATGAAGGGCCTTCGATGACGTATGCTGCACGTAGGCCTATAACATGTTCCAGAAGCAACGCACCGCTAGTTATACCAGATCAAGACTTCTCTATTGAGAGAGAGAGAGAGAGAGAGAGAGAGAGAGAGAGAGAGAGGGACAAATCGGGACTAACACATGTCACAAATTTATTCTGATAACTCACTGGCTTGTGGGTAGAGGGAAAACTGGAGGACCCGGAGAAAAGCCAGCAGGTTGAAAAGTCGACCCTACTCATTGTCATGGTATCGAACCCACTCAATCACAGACCTCATGATCTTAAGCGCATGCGCTAAATTATTCTATTCGGCCACCAAATTCCTGAAGAACTATTAGACCTATATACAAACATTATTACACTATTCCTTATATCATTTAAATCACACCACTTCACTCAATGACAGACCTTATGAGACAGCGTTCACACTGTAGAACCAATCCTCCCCAAACAAGTGATAGAGAGAGAGAAATGGGGTTTAACGTCCACTCGACACAAACTAGGTTATTTCGGGACTAACATATGGTTCAATTTTATTTCAATAATTCACTTGTGCGTAGGGGTCTTTAGCAGTGAGAGGAAACCGGAGGACCCGGAGAAAACCCACAAGGTTGGACAGGCGACCCTACTCCTTGTCACGTACACCCAGGGAATCCAAACCACGCCAGTTGACTCAATGACAGGCCTTATGATACAGTGTACACATGCTAACCAATTCCCCCCCCCCCCACTAAACAAGTACAAAGATTTCTGATTTATAAGCTTTAATAAAATATATATAAATACATGTATACAAAATCCTATTAATGGTGAATAATTTATTAAAGTTGTTGATGAGACTAGATCGAATTCCACACAAACATGTACACAAATTAATTAAACATTTCATTACGTAAACAAAATCAAAATATCCAAGGTAGATCATCTCACGGCTTGGATTAACAAGAGGACAATCAAATGTTTTCAGCAAAAATCATAGGTGGCTCTGGCTTGTTTTAACAGAGAGAGCAATGGGGTTTAAGTCCACTCGACACAAACTAGGTCATTTAGGGACTAACACATGGTTCAATTTTATTTCAGTAATTCGATTGTGCGTTGGGGTCTTTTTTGCAGTGGGAGGAAACCGGACGACCAAGAGAAAACCCACGAGGTTGGACAGGCGACACTACTCCTTGTCACGTACAACCGGGAATTGAAACAACGCCAGTTGACTCAAAGACAGACCTTACATGTATGATACAGCATGCACATGCTAACCATTCGGCAATCCAACCCCCCATAAACACAGATATTAAACAATTCAAGCCGTTCAGAAAGACAGTCAAATATTTATTCTTTTGTGAAATGAAAATGAAATGGGGTTTAAAGGCTCAATACCACTCTTGTTGTAACTGAATAATATGTCCCAATCTTTATTCTTGACAACAAATTGTACTATTTTACAATATTCCAATTAATTGATGATGCAAATTTCATCTTAACACACCTAATTTAAAAAATTGGAAAAATTCAACTAAATGATTTGAAAAGCCTGAGGTAAAGCTTTTCAAATGTGACTTGGATTTAAAAATATTTTTGAACCCTTTGGACAAGTAAAATAGGATTTAATGGATAATTTACACAACAGGTACATGTAGGACACTAACACATCTAGTACTTAGAATAAGGCTATTTTTTATTTTCTGGAGATGTCAAGCCAGCAAGAGTGTTATTGTCCCTTTAACATCCTATGCCAACCGGACTTATGAAGGCAGGCAAATGCCATAAAGTGTGCTATGAGGGAAATTTTGCCAGGCCAGCCACTCTTATATCGAATTCCAACTGATAAGAATTCTGTTACATGCTCACCAACGCTTACACAGGACCTGGGTTTTTATTACCATCCGAACGACTAGACACTTGGCCCTTCATCCTGCACCACTGACAAGGGGTCACCCAGCTACAAAATCCAGAGGAATTTTCTCGACCAACACAGGGCTCGAACCGGGGATCTCCTGGTTAGTGGGATAGCGTCATATTCGACGAGCGACCCTCCTCGATTCCTCCTCCTCCTTCAATCTACGTGTGAGGGTCACGGTGGTTAAGTGGGTAAGACACTGGCTTGCTAGCTTGGAGGTTGGCGTTCGATCCCTGCATTGGCCGAGAACGTCCATCCAGATTTTGTCAGTGATGCAGGACGGAGGGCCCGACAAAGACAGCTGTCTAGTCGTTTGGATGGGACGAAAAACCGAGGTCCCGTGTACACATTGGCATGCAAGTAAAAGATCCCTTGATAGTTGGAATTCGATATAAGAGTAGGCCGTAGTGCTGCTGGCCGGGCAATATTTCCTTGATAGCACAGTGTATGGCTTATGCCAGTCTTAATTAGCCCAGTTTAGAGCAGAACAGTAGGACGTTAAACCCCCTTTCATTTCATTTCATTCCACATGCTGTTCTTTCATGTGTTTTTTCAGTGTACTGCTATATTTAAATGTCAGACTACAACTTTCACACTGATACGGTGTCTCTCCAATATGGACATTCATATGTCTGACTAGGTGACTACTTCTAGCAAATAGTTTACTACATACCCCGCATTCGAAATGTTTTTCGCCCGTATGAATCTTGATATGTCGATGAAGGGTTCCGCGATCGTTAAATGATTTACCACATTCGTCACACCTATAGGGTTTCTCCCCCGTGTGTATTTTGATATGAGCAGTGAGGCAACTACTTTGCGTGAACGATTTCCCACAAATGTTACACTTATACGCCTTTTCCCCCGTGTGAATCCTGTTATGTCGTTGTAAAGCGTACTTTTCACAAAAATCTCTATCACATATATCACATTTAAATTTCTTTTCCTTCATGTGAAGTCGGACATGTCTGAATAAATTACTCTTATTAGCGTAGGTATTACTACACAAATGACACTGAAATGGTTTATCTTCGTTATGAAGACGGAGATGAGCCTGTAGATAACTATTACTTGTAAATGATTTATCGCAGAAATCACATTTATAAATTTTCTCGTCTGAATAATAAGCACCAGACATGGATGATTCCGGTTCACAAAAATTATCAGATGCATGCATTATATCTCCCAAATGGACTTCGTTATAATGTATTTCAAATTCACTGTATTGCTCAAAATCCATATTACATACTGTGCATTGTATCGAATTACTAGCAGCTGATAAATCACCGTCCGTGTGGCTTTCTAAATGTTTCTCTAAATCTGAATATAATTTGAAGAGTTCGAGACAGACTCTGCACTCGTAGTATTTTTCAATATCTCCATTTTCCCCTTCAATAAAATGTACGACACAATCGTCTAATTCTTTATTATCAGTTTTTTCATGATCAGAATTTTTATTTTGATCAATATCGATTTTCTCCTCATTAATTTGATCAGAAATTTTATTAATAGTTTTTTCCTCTTTGGCTTGAATCTTATCACGCTCGTCGTCTTGTGCTTTATCGCGACTGTCATCTTGTGTTTTATCGTCGTTGTCTTCTGTTTTGTCCTCATTTTGTGTTTTGTTGCATGCGCCATCTTGTGTTTTGTTGCACTCGCCATCTTGTGTTTTGTTGCACTCGCCATCTAGTGTTTTGTCGCACTCAGCATTTTGTGTTTTGTTGCGGGCACCATCTTGTGTTTTGTTGCATTCACCATCTTGTATTTTGTTGCGTTCGTCATCTTGTGTTTTGTTGCACTCGCCATCTTGTGTTTTGTTGCGCTCGCCATCTTGTGTTTTGTCCCGCTCATCGTCTTGTGTTTTTTCGCGGAGATCATCATTTACATGTGTTTTACTGTGGATATTCAGCTCACTCTGTTGATGAAAAATCTCCTCACAAACCTCACACTGATAAACAGATTCATCTAAATTACTTTCCTGAATTGAAAATATAATTCATCTTGAAATAATTTATCAAAACTTTACATAACCTTGCATGTAAAAGTGATAATACTGTTTTAACTGAGAGAGAAAGAGAGGGGGATAGAAATAGGAAGAGGGGGTAGAGAGAGAGAGAGAGAGAGAGAGGGGGGTAGAGAGATAGAGAGATAGAGAGAGAGAGAGAGGAAGATAGAGGGGGATAGAGAAAGAGGTGGGAGAGAGAGAGAGGGGGGGGTAGAGACAGAGAGAGGGACTATCATATGGTACAGTTTTATTCCTATAATGGTAAAGGCAGGTCCCAGAGAAACCCCACATCTGGACCTGTACTCCTTGACACATACAAGCTTTAAATCAACATGTCTTTTCCACACTAACATAATATTGTGCCATTTTATTTCAATAATAACAACTACATGTAGCTAGTACTTAGAAATCTTTAACAGTGGGAGGGAAACAGAGCTTGGTACATTCAAGTTTGGGATCGAAAACATGCCACTTGACTCAATGACAGACCATATTGATCTAAAGCACATGCGTTAGACCACTCGAACATTCCATCGCTTTAAAGTGGACACACTAGCTGAATGATTAGGCAGAAGCGGAAGAGAAATGGGGTTTAACGTCCACTCGATGCAAACTAGGTCATTTCGGGACTAACATAGATCTCAATTCTATTTCAATAATTGGCTTGCGCGTAGGGGTCTTTAGCAGTGGGCGGAAACCAGATGACCCGGAGAAAACCCACGAGGTTGGACAGGCGACCCTACTCCTTGTCACGTACAACCAGAGAATCGAAACCACGCCAGTTGACTGAATGACAGACCTTATGATACAGCACACACATGCTAACCATTCGGCCATCCCCCCCCCCCCCCCCCGATTAGGCACAATCAAATTCCCTAGTCTGTCCACAGTCATTCAGCCGAATGATTCGCCCAAATCAAATATGTTTGATATATTTGCCTATAGTGTGTCTGCTTCACCGAAGCATTTGCCCGATTGTAGAACCCATTAGCCAATAACCACTCATATCGAGAAGTCATGTAATTGTTTGAAGACATGGTCGCTGACCTGAAAGGTGATGCCATCGACTGATGGATCGGGTTAGGTATTCACCTAATGTGTCTATTCCTTCGGCCTCAATTTGGTACTGAAAGGTTCAACTGAATGATTTGGCTAATAATGTGGGGTTTAACATCCTACTGTTCTGCTCCGACTGGATTAATGAAGTGTGCTATGAGGGAAATTGTGCCCTGACAGCGGCACTACGGCCTACTCTTATATCGAATTCCAACTGTCAATTGATCTTTTACGTGCACACCAATTTTGACACCGGACCACAGACTCAGTTTATAGTCCCTTCCGAACGACAGCAGTCCCTTGTCAGGCCCTCTGTGTTGCACCACTGACAAGGGGGAACCATGTTGGAAAATCCTGATTATCCCCAGATTACTGAGCCAAAATCTTACTGACTTAGCCACCGTGACTCCAGGCCTCGAAATGTTTAAAAAAAGCTACCTGTCGCTTCAGTAAATAACCTGTAACTCTTAAATATCAAACTCAAAGACTAATCACATCACACATATCCATACATGTACATGTAGGTGCCCAAACACGTGGTTAGGTCTTTGACGTACATTGCTCTATATAAATATCGTAATATGAAACCTTTTTATTTCTTCGATATCGGAATGCCTAAAAGTTCTTGAAAGTCGGCGAATCTGCTTTGGCTCAGCGACTTGAAAATTTGTACAATTCTATCATCCGTATCCACGTGAATTTCGCAAAGTATCATGGTACCACACTTCCGTACTAAATCAAATACTTCACCGTTGAGTTGTAATATCAGTAATAAATTGAATATCAAAACAAAAATCACACCTGTGCGTGGCACCGTATTTACATGTACCGCGTGCGAAGGACAGATTACGCCACCTGGAATTCCTTTCTCACATATCCGGACTAAATTTACGCTACAAATTATATTTATATATGAAATATTTTTCCGACCTGATTTTTTGATTTTGTCAAATTGTCTTATAAATTATTCATAGCCTTTATTGATGGAAATTGTTTAAAACTTTTTAAATGATTAAATACACCAAGCATTTCCATTCCAACCACTACTATATTTACTGTGGTGTCGTTACGGTACTATTTCAGGTGACCTGGGGTGCGTTTTAATTTATTTTGATATAATACTCCATAATGCTATAAACTAGTGTCAAGCAGATGAAAACAAGCGTAGATGGTGTGAAATTCATTGATATAAAATTGTCTACTTCCAAACTGTAGCCTACGACAGAGCGAAATGTAAACAGTGCAAATGGCGGCTTTTTCGCGGTATTTCCGTGCTTAATTCTTGCATTTAGAAATGAATAATTAAATGTACGTGACGTGGACGTGAGTATTGTGGTCAATTTACTGAACATCAAGTAAAATTTAGTCCACCTGTCGCAAGCGACAGGTAGTTTTATTTGCTACCTATCAGACGAAAAAATCGCCTGTCGGCGACAAGTGGACAGGCGAACATTTCGAGCCATGCATGACTCCCTCCCTCTGTCTTTAGTTGTAGTTTAGTGACAAATAACAATACAAACCGCTTTAACTGAGTCATTCTCCATACCAGTCATCTTTAACAATATAAACAAAAAACAAAATCTATTCCACAATTTTCTACCACGTGATTCCTTCAAATCTAGAAAATCATAAATGAAAAGAAATGAAATGAAATGGGGTTTAACATCCTACTGTTTTGCTCCTACTGGGATAATTAAGACGGGCTCACGCCAATACAGTGTGATATGAATATGAGAGAAATTTTGCCCGGGCAGCGGCACTATGGCCTACTATTATTTTGGATTCCAACTGCCAAGGGATCTTTTACGTGCACGCCAATGTATACACAAGACATCGGTTTTTGGTCACATCCAGAGAGAGAGAGAGAGAGAGAGAGATGGTGTTTAACATCCACTCGACACAAACTAGGTCATTTTGGAACTACCACATGGTTCAATTTTATTCCAATAATAATTTGCTTGCGCTTAGGGGTCTTTAGTTGTGGGAGGAAACAAGAGAACCCTGAGGAAAGTCACGAGGTTGGACAGGCGACCCTACTACTTATCACGTTCAACTCGATGACAGCGATGACAGACTTTATGATACAGCGCGCAAGCCCTAACCATTCGCCCCCCCCCCCCCCACGATCAAATGCACTTACATTATTACTGCCACTGGTACAATTAATTCGCCCTACAAGTAGGCTACATACACGTATTTCAATTATGGAAACGGATAGATATTGTACGGAACTTAAACAAACGTTTAACAGATATGAGAAATGGGGACAGTAAATGATAATACCGTTACATAAAAAAAAACAATGTAAATACCCCAACAACTCCTTTTGTTACAGGGCACACCAATCACTTTTGGAATTTAACTTCCGTTAAAATCGTGGATTCAGACCACAAAATTTACTTCCGTTAAAATCATGGATTCAGACCACAAAATATCACCGCGGAAACAGGCCACCAAATTCGTCCTATCTAATCTTATTAATATTTTTAAAGATTTTTTTTCTACACCTGCCCTATTGTTAATATTTCGGACCTAGAAATAGACACAAATGGGTCCAACGCATATAATAATGTAATATGAATGTATATAAATTGATTTATAAATTCAATCGTTTCTGTTTTTATTGTAATTTCTAGTAGTTATGTTTGGCGAAATACGCCAGAAGTCTCAATCGAATGGCAACCTCTAGCGTCTGGTTATTCCAATCTACACCGATAGTATTTATTGTACATGGTCTCCAGATAAGAATATGGCGTAACCGTTTGACGTGACTTGTGGAATATGTCTAGCCTCGTTCTTCGGGTCCCTTGTTACAAATGGCGCTGAAACACATTATGGTACACAATTCTTGTACCAATGGTAAAATGTTTATTTTGTCTTAAATATTGGATATCAGAAGCCCATCTTTTCCCGGTAAGATCACAACATCAATGTTGATTTTTTTTGAGCCACGGTGGCTCACTAGCCTGGAGGTCGGGTGTTCGATCCCTGCATTGGCCGAGAAAGTTCATCTGGATTTTCCGACGTGGTTTCCCCCTGTCAGTGATGCAGGATGGAGGGCCTGACAAGGACAGCTGTCTAGTCCTTCGGATGAGACGAAAAACCAAGGTCCCGTGTATACATTGGAATGCACGTAAAAGATCCCTTGGCAGTTGGAATTCGATATAAGAGTAGGCCGTAGTGCCGCTGCCCGGGCAAAATTTCCCTCATAGCACACTGTATGGCGTATGCCCGTCTTCATTAGCCCAGGTTAGGAGCAGAACAGTAGGACGTTAAACCCCATTTCATTTCATTTTTTTTCAATGTTGATTTAAATTGACAAATAATTCGTGTTTTCAATTTGGAAGACTTTGGATGATATTGAGTTAGAGACTTTTAGCTACTTTAAGTGTCAATTTTTTGTTGAAATGATGGTTAAGCAATAGCATTGAAAAATAGTCATTTTTTGGAGATTTATTAAGTTTAAAGCGAAAGTACGGTATTCATGTTTAGATATTCATATGGTTGAGCAGCTGAGAGGCGGTATTTCTCATTGATTCTATTGGTAGGTGGGGGGGGGGGCGACGCGTGCACTTAATTAGATTACTATAGGCAGGATTTTGGTTCAAGCTGTGTGGTTTTGATCCCATGTAAACGTTAACTAAGCCCCCCCCCCCCCCGTTTACTCTGTTGGTACAAATTGTGAGTTAATCGGGATGGGCGGGTTCAATTCCTACATTCCGATACAACTAATATAGCTACCCATAATTCCTTTGTGATAAAGAGACGATTAATGGGAATAGAAGACTTATTAATATTAAATGGTTTGAAGGAATGGGAAACATGACGACAAACGAGGTACATATTATGTCACAGACATTGCTTCAGGCAGCCTGCCTGACATTGCTTCAGGCAGTGAAGCTGATTGTTGTCAAATATCAAACCTTCTCTAATGATGCATATAATGTTAAAGTAGCCAAGTCTCTAACTCAATATCATCCAAAATCTTCAACATTGAAAACACGATTTATTTGTCAAATTAAATCAACATTCATGTTGTGATCTTACCGGAAAAAGATGGGCTTTTGATATCCAATATTTAAGACAAAATAAACATTTTACCATATAATGCGCTTCAGCCCCAGTTGTATCAAGAGACTCGAGGGACGAGGCTAGACACATTGCACCAAATCAAACGGCATATGTAGACTGGAATAACCAGACGCTAGAAATTTGCACTCGCTTGAGACTGCTGGCTTATTTCCCCGAACATAACTGATTTGAAATTGGAGTAAAAGTGGAAACCATTGAATGTAAATCAGTTTATATACATTCATATACTACAGTATTATATGCGTTGCGATTTAGCACCTTTAAATACACATCATTCATAGTGTTGTTTTTCCAAATTGATTTTAATCAATTTAGATTTAGATCTAAATTAGTAAATTGTACGAGTATTGGATAAATTACCGATTAATTTTGTTTAATAACAAAACAAAAAAGTGTGAGAATTATTTGCATTGACGTCATATATATGTGACGTCATTGATGAGCCACGTATAATCTTCACTCGGCAAACCTCAGCAGATTCCAGTACCCCACATCTAGCCTCGGCTGTATGACGACGTCCGCCATTGAACTACTTTTAAGTTCCCGGGTTACCAACGGCGTTGCCCATGACAACACCTTTGAAGAATGTTTTATCACAAAAATATTTCAAAGTCTGAAGCTGTTTTACTTTCAAGTTTATCCGATTTTCTTCAAACAAGGACAACTTTGCACTGAAAATTTATTTTAAAAGTGGCAAGTTTTCCTAATAATAAACCGGTGCCGCATCGCAATTGTATAGGGGTAGGTACACATCATTTACCGTCATACAGAGTAATGGAATCTGCCGAGGTTTGGCGAGTGGCGTAATCTTGCTTTGATCGTTCAATATAACTGTCATCAGTTTTCTTTAAAATTAAAAGGTGTACATGGATATTGATAGGCGTCACGGTGGCTTAGTGGGTAAGACGCTGGCTCGCTAGCCTGGAAGTCGGGTGTTCGATCTCTGCATTGGCCGAAAAAGTTCATCCAGATTTTCCGACGTGATTCCCCCTTGTCAGTGATGCAGGACAGAGGGCCTGACAAGTACAGCTGTGTAGTCGTTCAGATGGGACAAAAAACCGAGATCTCGTGTACACATTGGCATTGGAATTCGATATAAGGGTAAGCCATAGCGTTGCTGCCCAGGCAAAATTTCTCTCATAGCACATTGTATGGCGTATTAGCCCAGTTGGAGCAGAACAATAGGACGTTAAACCCCATTTCGTTTCATTTTATTTCTGCCATATACTTATCTGATCTAATATTCAATTTCCTAGTAGGCCTAGAAATGATCGTTTTAGTTGTGAAGTGAGGTTTTTAATGTCCTACTGTTCTGCTCCGACTTGGTTACCGAAGATGGGGATATGCTATGCAGTATGCTATGAGGGAAATTTTGCCACTGACAGCGGCGCTACGGCCAACTCTTATATCGAATTCCAACTGTCCAGGGGATCTTTTACGTGCACGCCAATGTCATGTGTACACAGTTGTACCATACAAAATGTCAGGCGTCACTGAACTAGCACATGACAGTTTCAATTTGTTGCCATAGAAACCGTGAAGAAAAGACAACTCTGGGCCACCAGAGATGTTATTATTCCAGGTGTCTGTGAGATGTGTATTATATCCAGGTGTGAATTTTCCTACTTTGATCAACTTTTTATTTTAATTCCAGACTGATGCCGATTTTACTACTCTATATCAGTGTGTTGTTTGTGATGAGATTTTCGAGCAGTACACAGACCTAGAAAATCACAAGACTATTCATGGTGAAGAAGAGAAAACACAACAAAAAGATGGTGGTGATATTTTCCACCAGTGTCTGGTATGTGATGCGATTTTTGAACAATTCTGTGATCTAGAAAACCACAACAGAATTCATGTACCAGTAAATGTCGAGGAAGAGGAAATGGTTGGTGATGGATTTTTTCAATGTAATTTGTGCGTTGATAAATTTAATTTAAAAAAATCTGACTTGGAGACGCATAGTAACATGCACATGGAGAAAGAACGGTCGCGAGGCAGCACTTTACATGAATGTACAGTTTTTAAAATGAGCATGCAACCCTTCAGTGACATCGCCTTACACATATGTGCCTGTAATAAACGACTAGAAACAGACAACAAAGAAGAAAATCTCTTTGAATGTGATGTTTGTAGTAAATCATTTAGTCGGACTGTTCGTTTAAAGGTACCCAAGAAACTCTATGTCTATAAATGTACTGTTTGTAAGCCTAATATTGAATTTGAAGAATTCTGTCATCTTGAGGCACATCGCGAGATACACGGAATATGTCTCCACAATGGAACATTTTACCAGTGTAATGTGTGTGATAACAAATTTGAACTATATACTGACTTGGAGGAACATTGTAAAATACATGTTCAAGGGGAGAAAGATGATGATATGGATTTTAAAAAAGAGAATGTTGATGAAGGAGAATCGGCACATATTGGGAGGTTGGATGGGGAACAAAACATCCAGCCATATTTCGATTCCGAGGAACACTCATACAGCAATTCAAGCAAGTACATTAGCGCCATTGATATCATGCATATTGGGATGCTGGAACATTCCTACTGTAAAAGAGAGGATTGGCACCGATGTATATTTTGTAAAGAAAAGTTTAAGCAATATGGTGAACTTCAAAAACATTGGAAAGGCCGTAAATGTACTGGTCCAGAAGAAGTCATTCCAGGTGTTTCCCACAGGTGTAAATTCTGTGCCTTGAGTTTTAAACTGAAGATTGACTGCAAGAAACATTTGAAAACACATTCTTTCAGAAGTGTTAATTTTAAAACACATTCCTCGCATGTAAAAAAACTTCCCACTAATATACAGTATGTAAAATGGCTTTGAAACAATACTAGTAGATGCACACTGTTGTACAGTGAAACAATACTAGTAGATGTACAGTGAATGAATATGGGCAGATGTACAGTGAAAGAATAAGGGTAGATGTACAATGAAAGAATAAGGGTAGATGTACAGTGAAAGAATAAGGGTACAGATTTAAATTTAACTAACAACTGGTCAGTGAATCCATCAATGTATGATCCAGTTATTATTTTAAATATCTACATGTACCGTTACTTGGAATTCACACAGAGCGTGGAAGAAGCACGATTCGCAAACCATGCTGAAATCATCTACCTACGCCACATGGCTTATTTTCACAAAGGCAGCTTACTGAACCTGTTATGAATAGTCAGCAAGCGTGTTTTTTTTACCGAATTATCAAAATTAATGTTACTCGGATTATGATCCACATGGCTGATTCTCACTGAGGTATGACTGTTGTTGTAGCCGACAAGCAAAGTTGATTGACTTTTTTTATTAACAAGGAATAATTAACTCATTGTAATTTAGCGGAAAGTAGATTGATTTATGATACCATATGTGTCCGGTTGATTGTTTTACCAATTGGCTAGATAAGACATCAATCAGCCACATAGAAGACCAAACAGCTCTTTATTCAGTGTTCTTAATTCTTAGTTCTTAATTCATAGTCCTTAATTCTTATTTCTTCATTTGTTGTCATATTTTGACATTTGTACACTAAAATTATCATTTGTATCTTAAAATCAATATCTGTTTTACAAATCAGACATTTGTCATATCAGATTTGTAAAATGTATTTTTGTCTAATTTAATTTTATTTTAATATATTGCTAAAATTAATTTTAAGATACAAAATGTCGAAATAAGACAACAAATGAAGAAATAAGGACTATGAATTAAGAAATAAGGATTAAGAACTATGAATAAAGAGCTGTTTGGTGTTCCATGAATTAGAAAGGCGGTCGAAAATGAGCGTCAGTTTTAACAACTTCGTTTTGATTAATTAATGCCAGATCCGTAAGGAATAAAACAACAATTTTATCTGATTATATTGTTGAAAATTAAATTGATATTTGTGGAATAACTGAAAGTGGCTAAATAATGACTGTTCGGACTCCTTGACAATCACAGCTTTAGTACCTGATGGATATTCTATAAAACATTGCGCTAGAGGTTCACGTGGAGGGGGTGTAGCACTTATATTTAAGTCATCTATTTTAATAATGTAAGAAAATCCGTCATGAACGCTTTGATTCTTTTGAAATTTTGGATTGTTCTCTACAGTTTTCTTTCAAGGAAACTAGGATTATAACAATTTACCACCCGCCCAATAGCAAATTGTGTCAAAAGTTTATGGAAGAATTTGGATTATTTCTGGACCAGTTAATGATGACCAAGTGTTGCACTATTATTTGGGGGGATTTTAATTTTCATGTTGATGACTCCAACGACTAACCGCGGTTGATTTTTGTGAAATGTTGAATAATAGAACTCTCACACAACATGTTTCTTCTTCGACTGATAATGGTGGATATATTCTCGATATGGTGTTAACTAATCTATGTGATATTAAACCGGAAAACCTCTTTGTCGCGACTAATTAATTCCTGATCATTTCCCAGCAAGTTTTAATTTTAAGATCCAGAAACCACAACCAACAGAGAAAGACTATAACATATCCAAGGTTTAAATCACTTGGCTTCAAGCAAATACTGTTCATGTATAATTCTATTCATACCTCTCATAGTGTAAATATTTTCACATTTATCAAACAGCACATCTAATATATTTATTATCATTATGTAAAACATTTGTTCCGGATTTTATGCATGTTTGATGTTGTTAAACAGGCAAAATGTAAGAAAGGCCCCAGGCCTAATTTTCTACCCTTTTGAAATAAAGTGATTATTATTATTATTATTATAATTTTATTATTATTATTATTAATAAATTTAAAGCGGAAATAGTCAACTTAGATTTCAATGACATTCAACGTATTCAAGATATACAAGAGAAGGCAATCCAATATCACTCTATGTGCTTGCTAAAATTATGGACTCGCTTGTATCTCTTAAAACGAAAAAAATTACCATTCGTCCCAATATGCAGTGGTTTAATAATTCTATTTTAGAAGCCAAAAACGGACCGTAATAAGGCTGAACATCTCTGGCGGAAAACAAATCTACATGTCCATAAACAGATTTATAAATCTTTAAAAAAAAACAATGTGAATAAATTAATTGAAGACGCTAAAACGGACCGTAATAAGGCTGAACATCTCTGGCGGAAAACAAATCTACATGTCCATAAACAGATTTATAAATCTTTAAAAAAAAACAATGTGAATAAATTAATTGAAGACGCTAAAATTAAATTTTACTCTGATAGAATAGAAAATGGCGAAAACAGACAAAAAGACCTGCATAAAGTTGTGAATTCCCTTTTGGATCATAATGCTGAGCGGACTATTCACACGAATTTATTCTCTGATTTCTTTCAAATAAATATACAGAAAATACGAACTGAACTTTATGATTTAAAGGAGCTAAATCGCTAACATTTGGGACCTAGAAATTGACAAAAGTGGGTCGCAACGCATATAATACTGTATGAATGTATATAAAATGATTTACATTCAATGGTTTCCGTTTTTACTTCAATTTCAAATCAGTTATGTTCGGCGAAATAAGCCAGCAGTCTCAAGCGAGTGCAAATTTCTAGCATCTGGTTATTCCAGTCTACATAGGCCGTTTGATTTGGTGCAATGTGTCTAGCCTCGTCCCTCGAGTCTCTTGATACAACTGGGACTGAAGCGCATTATGGTACACGATTCGTGTACCAATGGTAAAATGTTTATTTTGTCTTGAATATTGGATATCAAAAAGCCCATCTTTTTCCGGTAAGATCACAACATGAATGTTGATTTAATTTGACAAATAAATCGTGTTTTCAATGTTGAAGATTTTGGATGATATTGAGTTAGAGACTTAGCTACTTTAAATAAAACTATTGACTTTAACGCTCATGATTTTGATCTGTTAGAAAATTCTGTTTATTTAGAAAATTTTAACTTGGTTAGTGAATCTTTTTGTTTTAAAGCTAATTAAATCGTCTGCTAATTGTACCGACTCCTGTTCTTAAGGACTGTCTAGACGAAGTTATTCCAGTTTTTACCAATATTATTAATTCTTGTATATCATCCTCTACTATTCCCAACGTTTTCAAACAAGCTTATGTTACCCCTTTAATTAAAAAGTCTACACTGGATCCTAAATTAAATTAAAGACCTGTCTCTAACTTAAGTTTTATTTCTAAAATATTGAAGAAATGTATTGCTTCTCAGATTAATGAAATGAAATGAAATGGGGTTTAACGTCCTACTGTTCTGCTCCGACTGGGCTAATGAAGACGGACATTTGCCCGGACAGTACTAATCTACTCATATATCGAATTCCAACTGTCAAGGGATCTTTTACGTGCGCGCCAATGTGTACACGGGACCTCGGGTTTTCGTCCCATCCGAAAGACTAGACAACTTTCCTTGTCCAGCGCTCCGTCCTGCATCACTAACAAGGGAGAACCACGCCGGAAATTCTGGATGAATTTTCTCGGCCATTGCAGAGATCGAACACCCGATCTCCAGGCTAGCGAGCCAGCGTCTTACCCACTTAGCCACCGTGACCCCCGCTTCATAGATATAGGCCCATCTAGATGCTAACTTTTTGTACGAACCATTTTAAAGTGCTTATAGAAAATTTCACAGCATTGAATCTGTTTTGTCATCTGGGGTTCCTCAAGGTTCCGTTCTTGGTCCGATTTTATTTACCCTTTTTACGTCACCATTAGGTGATATTGTCAGAAAAAAATGGGCTCAGCTTTCATTTGTATTCCGATGATACTCAATTATATACTCTTCAAAAAATAGGAGGAGATATTCAGAAACAATACAAAACTGCGGAAATGCACTGCTGTTTTAATTAGAGGTAACCAGTGTATGTTAATAACAGGCCAATTGCCTACACATGAACATAAACAGTTCATATGGGCGGCTTATCTGACGGCCCAATTTCACTGCAAAGAGATACACTGCCAAAAGTGAAAATGGACGTTTTTGATTTTTGTCTTAATAATAAGTAATTGCTCCACCAATTCTCAGGCGTTCATCAATACGTCGTGGCATACTCCTAATCAACCGTCCAATCACGATTTGTGGCAATCTGACCCACCCCCTTGCAGTGCCACGGCCAATTCTTGCAGTGTTGTCGGTTGACGTTGACGTTGACGATCACGTCTCCCGATCATGGCCCAGCCATGCTCTATAGGGGAAAGGTCAGGACTCATGGCTAGCCAAGGGATATGGACAATATGGTGACGCTGGAGGTAGTCATTCACGACACGAGCGCGGTGGGCACGGGCATTATCATCTCGAAAGATGAAACGTCGACCTGCACGTTAAGCAAAGGACAGAACTATCGGTGCCAGGATGTGGTCACGGTAGTACACACCAGTGACCTTTCCTTGAACCCCACACCATAACAGACCCACGCCGAATCTGTCATGCTGTCTGATGTTAACGTTATCATGACGCTCATTTACACGCATCCAAACGCAATCACGCATATCGGTGAAACCTAGAGTAAATCTAGAATCATCTGAGAACATTACACGCGCCCATCGACGATTACCCCAATTCCTACACTGCCTACACCATTGACGCCTGTTTGCCATGTGCTGGCGAGCTAATGGAGGCACAACACGCGGTCGTCGCGCATGCAAATGGGCTGCATGTAGCCGATTTCTAATCGTTTGGGTCGTAACTCGAATTCCTGTAACTTGATACAAATTTACAGAAAGCTGATTGGCCGTTTGTTCTCGATTTCGCAGAACCTGTGTACGAATGTATCGATCCTGGGCTTGTGTAGTGACTCTAGGACGACCTGAACGAGGTCTATCATCAACATTGTGTGTTTGTGGTTACCGGTTCCACAGTCTGCTGATTACAGACTGTGACACATTAAGCATGTTGGCTACTGCTCGCTGTGTATTCCCTACAAAAGTTCCTTTATTATATCACTAATTCCATATTTGGTGAATAACGAACAACAAACCAGCTCGTTGTTTGTTATTCGCGAACACCGAACAACAAACCACCTAGTTTTTCGTTATTCGCCAATATGAAACTGCTCGCTGTTTGCGTAGAAAGACGGGTTGTTGGAATCTTTTTCCCAAGACCTTGAAGATTTATGAACCAATTAGGCTAATAAAACCCACCCCCGGCGTTTTCTCTATAAAAATGCCTTTATTATATTACTAGTTCCATATTTGGTGATTAACGAAAAACGAACCAGCTCGTTGTTCGTTATTCGAGAATACCGAACAACGAACAACAAACTTACTTCACGTCGCTTCTTTTAAGTTACATGCCAATGTGTACACGAGACAAATATTGGTTTGTTGACCTTAGTGTCTTATAGCTTGTTAATATACTCAACAGTTATACTTTATTCTTAACAGTTCTTATAAATAGAATCACATTTCAATATATCATAAATTATGCAAGTTAAAAAACTAATTACAATACTTAATGTACTTGTGAGTAATCGGTTTTTACTTGAAACCAATTAACATATATTATTTTTGTACACTCTTTATATTTGTGTAAATAAAGTCATTCATTAGATATTTATCACGTTATGGATACCGAATGGTCTCTTCAAACAAATCCTTTCTTAAAAATATCGACGTTTCCTTGTTTATTATGTAAAGATGCACCATGTAAGATTTAGATATAGAGCAAGCCGTTGTTACTGTAATGGTTATATTAAAGATGCACTATGTAAGATTTAGATATAGAGCTGACCTTTCTTACTGTAATAGTTATATTAAAGATGCACTATGTAAGATTTAGATAGAGCTGACCTTTCTTACTGTAATGGTTATATTAAAGATGCACTATGTAAGATTTAGATATAGAGCTGACCTTTCTTACTGTAATGGCTATATTAAAGATGCACTATATAAGATTTATATAGAGCAAGCCGTTGTTACTGTAATGGCTATATTAAAGTTGCGCTATGTAAGATTTAGATATAGAGCAAGCCGTTGTTACTGTAATGGTTATATTAAAGATGCACTATGAAAGATTTAGAGCTGGTCGTTCTTGCTATAATAGGTATATAAAAGATGCATTATGTTAAAACAGTAATTGAATATCACTAGATTAGAGAAAGCGAGAAAGATAGAAATAGCCCGTACATTCCCTTGATTTTATTAATTCTATACTTCATAATAAAACATAGTAATGCAATGACTTTTTCTATTTGTTTTTTTTCCTATTACCTAGTGACCGCCAATTCCTTTCATAAGTTATCAAATATCCACTTACAGTCGCACATAACAACTTTAGATCTCGGAAGGAATTATCAGTAAGCAGAAATTCACTCTTGTATCGTTCGTTTCTTCCGTCAGTTAAAATAGTAGGATAACTCGTGTTTTCCTTTCCCTTACGTCACTTCCGTTTCTTGAAATCTTCGAAACAGATCTTTTATAGCAAAGCTTTCTATGTTAAAATTATATAGTAAGCAGCAAAAGAAACGTCAGGTTGGTATATTACTCTGAATAGACGCATTGCATAAAACTTGCCAAATGTGTTTATAATGTATATTTGTGATCACATCCCCAACTTTACCTGAGCAATAAGGCTTCTTCCCAAACATAGAATTGAACCCATACAATGTTCTCAAAAACGCAATCTGACTTCTTAGATAGTAATATGTTCTCCATGATTTTCGAATGTATTTCATGAGAGTTTAAATTTCTTGGAGTAAAGAATCCTTATCGAATTTGATCAACATCCGCGTTTTCCTTTCGGATAATCTGCTGTCGAGATATAGCTGCTATGTGACTCCTACTTATGATGT